GTTTTGCTCAGCCACGGGGGGGGGGTCGGTCGCTGGAGAGGTGGGGATGCAGGGCAATCCTGTGTGGAAAGCTCTGACCGCTTCGGCCGGGGCAGAGGCAAATATAACGGGAGGTTTGCTGATGGGGGGAAGGGACTCACAGAAAGAGAAGCACAATGATAATGAGCTGTATGAACCAGTGAGCAAACCGCGTCCCACCCCTCAGCACACAACGTGAATGCCTCCAGTCCCGTCGTCATTTCATCAAGCTTGTGATGATCTGTGCCACGGTTTTTGAAATGCCGCATAGCACTGAGACACAGAGGTGGGTTGTCGCAAAACGCATCGCCATTGTCCTGTCACGCAACGCGTCGCCATTGTCCGAAGGATCTGCCAACCAGACAGTATCCTTCGAGATGAGTAAACCTTTACCTTTAACCGTAAACGCAGGGTGAAAAAACTCAAAACCTGTAGTCGAGAAAGTGCGAATCCTAGGGCCGAAATGTTTTTCAACATTCGAATCGGCCCTCTGCAGGAAGCTTTGGCGGCCTTGCAGCCCAAGGATGCAGAAACAGGGTTTAGGTTTTAGAGTTTAGGATTTAGGGCCAAAATACGGAATCGGGAGTTCATGCTTTCGGTTTGGGCCGATTGGGTTTCAGGTGTCGGGTTGAGGCTTGTGCTGTTGCGCTGTGTGTAAGGTTTCGGGCTTGTGCAAGGATTACGGTTTGCGGGCAGGGGTTTAGAGATTGGGATTTGGGCTAGGTTTTTTCAAGGGTTCCAGGTTTCGTTTTTTGGATGGGTCCTCGATTGATATCATGATGTGGAGCTCGAAATAGCATCGCAGCGTTAGCGACTTCACTTCACTGCCCGACTGCAGCAAGGACTACAAAGACCTGTTCGAACGCCACGCCATTCCCCACGAGAGTCTTCGACACAATTCGTTAGCCACCGACGGAGATGCTGCAGCACTGTGACATCAGCTTGCTGAGAAATAGCTTGCAGATACACCGTCAGTTGATCTTGACGAACTGTCGCCCAAACTGCATCCGTGTGACCCGAAAGAAAAAAGCTTCGGCCTGTGCATGCATCATATGCGCACATCGCATTGATAAGGAAGCAAAAGCTGCCAAGCCTGGAAGATGATGATGAGGATGAGGAACCCTGCTTCTGCGCGAGGGCTGAGCTACTTGGTCCAAGCAGAGGTCAAGTTTAGCGTTTGACTTCTCCGATCCCCAACACAAAACCCTCTGTAAGGTGGTCTGCCGCCGGCGGCGCGGAGCGCAGTAGCAACAAGGCAAGAGCCTCCACTCGGAAACGCCTGGGGCCTAGAGCATCGGAGCCTTTTGAATGAACATCAGCTATTTCCGGTAGTACCTGTCGGCATGCAACAGATATCGAGTTAGAGCACAACAGCAACGGCAGCATCGTTTTGGATTCTCGTCTTTGGGAACTTGCCGTTAAGCTGCGACAGTACAGAGCCAGTTGCGCTTGAGTTGAAGTCCCGAGACTGGGTGTGCTTGCAAGAAACTTCCATGTGGAGTCTGCTAAGCCGCCGTGACGGTGAACAGTACTATGGACGCGGACGAGATCAGCTTGCAGAGACTTTGCTTTAATCGTTGGGGGGTGTATGTGTGTACATGTGATTTGTTCTGCGATCTCTGGATCACCAACTGTGTGCGACGAGGAATCGACGGTCGACTAGCAGACTCAGTTCACTCTCCGACCTATTGCCTCAGCTGCCTGTCTACATCATTAGGTATCCAGGGTTGTAAGGCGTAGGGGAAGGGGAGTGTAAGATGACCATATTCTCTGGATCACTTCTATTCAGAGTGACTTAGGCTTATGAAGCCTTCAACCCCCACCGTATACACCTGAATTCAAGTTCCTGAAGTTCCTGCACAGAAGCTTTGCATGCTGGTTCAGGCTCGTGTTCATGCCCACTGGCTTCTTCAGGTGGGGGCACCTGTCTGAAACCCATCATGCGGATCTTGTTCGTTCTGTGTGCGCTGTCGGGCACTACTAGTGTCCAATTCATGACAGTAGCCTGGTTGAGCTTGTCCTCATAGGCTGCACGTTGCTTTCGCACGTCCGTAATCCCAAAAGAGGATCCTTTGTGTTGTTCAAGTGCAGGGCAGTCTGATGCATGATGCACCTTTGTCTTAAATCCGACAATTGGATGCACTCTAAGCCAACATCAGGGCAACCAACATGTGCCTGCAACGAAAGCTGAGCTTCAAATATGGAGGCGCCAAATCTCATAAGTCTACAAACTCTAAACCTAGTTGGTGAGTACTGTTTCCGTTGATTGCTGTTGCTGGGGCCTGAGGTTTGGAGTTTAGGATCTTTGCCTGTTCAACTCCCAAACCCAGTGTGCAGCCTGGGACGGGACAGGACGACTTGGGATTTCATCAACATCCTCATCCTAACGGTGGAGCTGCCCCTTGGAACATGAGCAGCCCGGTTTACGGTTTAGGATCTAGGGGGCTTGGGGGTAGTTTTGGGTTGGTTCTTCCTAAGTCTACTCTACTTCAAGTCTGTCATGATCAGCTGACTAGCACTTTCTAGCAGTGCTGGTATTTCGTTATCCTTCATTCGAGCTTCGGGGCTTCGACTTGGGAACATCAGCCTTCGTGCCTAGGATTCTCTTGCCGCTGCACGTCTTCGATGCAATGGTGCCTACCCCGTTTCTCATCGGCCTCTCATGGATCATCCAGCACCCATGGCTGCAGGGGAGTGCCACGTTTTGCCAGACATCGCCGGCCCCCCACACACACAGTTGCATTCATTTCCGTGTCGAGGATCTTCTGGAATTTGGACATTATCGTCCACTTTCGAACGTGCTTCTACATGCGCGGCTATGCCGTCAAGGATGCCAGGAAGATTGCCCAGCGCTACCTCAGAGGCTGGGTCTCGCTGCTGCCATTACCCTGCTCCCTAATCCCTCCGCTCTCGAACTGAGGATGGTTCCTTTGCGATTTTTCGCCACTTCGCCTTTCAAGGGGCGCAAACTTTGGAATCGAGGGGCCGATGAGTTTGTTTTGCCAGTTTTTTCCGTGCGACGCACACCGAGGAATGTCTTGGCAGACTGGTATTTAGACTCCAGAGCCTCCTACGCAGCGGCCGTCCTCTCGGAGGTTGACTTCACCAGCGTCCATCGTCCTCATTCCATGCACAACGTCCGAAGCAGCTGGTATTGCGTGGCGAAAGCCCTTGAAACAACTCAGGATCTCTACTGTGTGGTCATCATAAAGTTTCTGCTGCGCCTTGTGCGCTTTGCGAAGCTCAATGGAATTGCGCAGCCGCTGCGCAGCAGCTACGTGGAGTTCGTGCTGTGATGGAATTCCGCTAGAGGCCTTTGTGTGTGCAGCACGAACTCGAGGTCTCTCATCCGCAGGCTCAACTCGGACACCGCAATCGCCAAAGCCAAAATATTTCTCCTCTCGTGCCAGCGTCATGTCTGCAGCACAAGCTCAATGCATGGGCTGCACGCAGTTCGAGTGGATGCAAGCCCAATCCTCAACAACTCAATTAAGCCCTAAACTCTATACAATGGCAAACTCCCATTCATCCCGTCGTGTATGTAATTAATGCCCAGGATACTGCTTATGCAGCATGTGATGGCACCCTGTCTGCAGTACTTCGTTTGCGCCAAAGCGTGTGCTGCGCAAGTTCCAAGACTATATATATATATATATATACAAGATCTTTTAGACTACTTTATGGGGTCTGTGTGCTTTTGGTTTGAGTTCAGGCTTTCCTCGGTTAGGGTTTCAGGCTTTAGGTTCTTTGATTTCTTCTACTGCTCGGAGATTTCGCGGTCGTTCGCGGCCTTCCATTCTGTGTCTGTGCGTTCCAAGCCAAGCTGTTTAGCTAAAGTAGGGTTTGCAACCTCCAAGCCGCAAAACCTTGTGGCACCTTCAATTCGAGAGAGCCTTACCTTTGGGAACACAACCCACTCTATGTGGACTGACTATTGAGGCCTGCATCTGGTACAAAGTTGGCGTGGTCTCAAACGAAGGTCGGTCTGTGGCGGCGCTGTGACTGTCAAGTCCTGGGCTTAGGGTTGGATTGGGGGCTTCTTGATCCTACACCAGAAAGACCGCTAGACCATGCGTAGCCTCCGCAATCCGTCACCTGAAGCCCTCATTCCATCGGAGCAAGCAGTGGTTCGGCCGCAGGCTGGGTGAGCCAATTCGAGTTCTCCGAGAAAGACATGGACTACAGGCGAGGTGAAGTGCTCAGGGTCAGCGTGATGCAACTGAGAGCTGCGGAAAGTTGAAATGCCCCTTGATGCGACACCAAACATGTGGCCCGAGGCTTCTTCGACTCGTTTGCATCCATAGAGCTCATGTACTGGTAGGATGTTTTCGGTTTGGGGAGCTGCTGCAAGGTATACCACAGCTTTGCACTGGATGTTTTGCCAGCTGGGCTTTGGATCCACTGGCATTGAAGCATCTTGGATGCGGTGTGATGTGATGCATAGGGACAATATCGCCAAAGACTGCAGGCTCGTGCAGCTCGCAAGGTTTGCTCCACTCTTGATTTCTAGCATTTCCTCTTGGCCAGATTCTCGCTCGATGGCTCGACTGGAGCTGTGTAGACTTTTTACCCTACTTTGCTGCTAGGGGAGCACGACGCTGGAGCGTGTCTTTGGACTCATTGCCGCTTGGCCATCCGATTTCCGAGGGTTCATTCAAAGTTGCGGCGGCTTGGCACAGGGCTTATGCAGCATCTAGACAGAGGCTTCTGAAGCGCACGCAGCAGCTGAGTCAAAGAGAGAAGCCTTCGCTAATTTCCGCAGGCTCCATAACCTTTCTCTCTCCTTCTCTCTCGCACATAAGACATGGTAAGTAAGTCGTAAAAAACAGAAAGTCTATACGAATATGTGTATGTATCCGTCTGTATATGTGTATTTGTTTGTACGTATGTATGTGTGTATCTAAAGTCTAAAGATACATACATATGCATATGTATATATATATATACATATATTTAATATGCACCTGTGTACACCAATATACACGTTTACAAGCCATTTACCCACATATGTGCATCGGCATGTGCTCATACACCTTTACATGCAATGAATATGCGCAAGGAGTAAGGAGCAAATGCGCATGCAGAAATAGCATTGCCAGCTCCACAAATACGAGTCCAAGATCCATGATTTTGTACCTGGCATTCACCTGTGCGAGGTTGTGTTGTGTTGCGTGAGAATCAGTATCTGGCCTTTGCTTCTCGTTGCAAGGGCCGTCGAGATTTGTGTTTGGATACCCTCCTGAGGCCCTTGACTAGCCCTGGGATCACTCTGCCTCGCTGAAGCATTTTCTGTTTGTCTGACAGGCGCAAGATACCGTGCACATATTAGCTGCACGGACAAATATTAAAGCAAGAGATTTCCTAGCGATGCGTACTCGCAGTGGAAATTCCCAGCATCTCATGCGTGTTCACATCAGTTCGCGTTCTGAACCCAATACCATCAAGAGACAGTCCCCAGAATACCAGCATTGAAGCCAACCGTGCAAACATGTTTTGAATGTAATCACAGAGTGGTTCAGCCGCCTCTACCACCCGGCTTCCACATGCGCCACACGTACCACCCACAGCAAAGCATGAATCGTTCTTCTACCATATGCCACAACTCGAACTCGAACTGAAGAACTAGAAGCTGTCAAAGGCTCCAAACCTGTGACAACTCAAAGGGCCAAAACTGCTGTCTAGCAGTTCCACAATTCCCGGAGCTGTGCGCACGAGCTTTGGACTTGTTTTTCTTCGAGGCTGCGCATTTCAATGCATGTTGCATTTGTAGAATGTCGTGAGCCAAGTTTGTTTGCGAGGTTGCGTTCCTGGCGCTGGTCGTCTTCTCCACACTTCTCGGTGTGCTGGCAATAATTGGTGACAGCGTGTTCGGGTGTGCTATGAGCCTTGAACCCTATGAATGCTGATTCCAAATCCAAAAGACCCTCAACCCAGTCCCAGGTGCCATCACGAGCCTCACGAACCAGCTGAACAAGGCTTCTGAGGAGCGCAAACACCAGTTTCGCCAGCTGAGGCCGGACGGTGCTGACAGGTGTCGTTTTATCTTCAGATGACACTTTGGCGCTTGTTATATGATTGCATTTGTCCAGGGTTTTGCGGATGTTTGATGAGTGCTTCTGGCTGCTCATGTAGAATCCTCTGGAGACAAAACGGAGTGATAACATCAAGGTTTTCCCAGAGTGCGAAGTAGACGGCGTAGAGTCTTTGCTGCCTCCGCCTCTGGCAGGACACTACGCCCTGAACCCTAAACTCTGTCCGGCAGGAAGTACTTGAACCAGCATCACATCAACGAGGACCTCTGCCTGCGGATTACTGGCTTCCTACAGGATGCCTACAGCCTTCGCCAGGCCGCAGAGCAGGGAAGTGGGGGTTAAGAGCTGGCCCTGTAAGCCCCAATGCTAAGTACATATGAGCTTGGGCATATTTTGGCATGATTCCAATCTGTATCTTGGTGCTGCTATGTTCCGACACCTAAACTCCCATAATCCGTTATTCAATCTGCTTGCCCAGGCACGGCTAGCGGATTCCCAGGTTGCACTGCTGGAGCTACTGTCCAAGCCCCTGCGCGGGGAGCTGCAACTCGCCAGAATAAGTTTTGGTGAAACGGTCAGCCTGAAGCCCTGTACCCACATCCTTGAGCCCTCCTTCTCGAGAACCCTAAACCCTAAGCCCTGATCCGGCCCTGAGGCAATATGCGATGTACGAGAGATGCCTTGAGGTGCGGGCATTATGCGAACGAAGCCTCAGTAACTACTGATAGATTCCTCCGTCTGATATGGAGGGACGATGACTTGACAACTTCTCTTCCTACTCCATCTCTTGGTACTAATCGCTAGTACTGTTTGTCTAATGAGTACTGCTAGTGCGGTGGTGGTGGTGCCAGTAGTCGTATTAGTAGTACAGCAGTAGTAGTCGTCGTCGACGTCGTCCTACTAGTAGCAGGCGTTGTCGCTATTGTGGCTGTGGCTGTGGCTGTGGCGGCTGCTGCTGCTGCTGCTACTACTACTACTACTGCTGCTCCTCCTATACTCCTCCTCGTGCTCCTACTCCTACTCCGACTACTTCTACTTCTAGTTCTACCTACTAGTAATATTAATTCTACCACCACTACTACTACTACTACTACTACTACTACTACTACCACTAATCATAATATTACTACTACTACTACTACTGCTGCTGCTGCTACTACTACTACTACTACTAGTACCACCACTACTGCTACTACTACTACTACTACTACTACTACTACTGTTGATACGAAAAATCCTGCATCGATTTCTGGACGCAGGCCTCACCCCCCGCAACCCCCGAATCTTAGTATTGAGCCGAAAAGACCCG